ATCAGTTTACCAGATGAGACTTTTATTTATTATTATTCTGACTTCCAAGCATCATTTGCTTTGAGGATCTGAAGACAAAGGCAGCTAAGTAACAAACGAAATCCGCAGGCTACGTAGTCCCAAGAGCTGGGAAAAAATGACAGAGCAAATCGAGCCTGTGATCCTGCCCGTCTGTGCGTGCGCGCAACCCCCCGGCGCTCACGCGCGGTGGGAGACGGGCCGTGTTCCCTACGCACCTCCAGCCCGACGTCCCGTGCCCCCCGCCGGGGAAGCCCGCAGCCCCCCGAGGACGTCAGAACCATCTGCCGTGCTCCTAGGTCCCCACGCCACCATCCCTGGCCGGTGGGCTGCGACCCACAGTGTATTTAGATCAGACTTATTTCAAACAGTTTATACTTGGGTTTCGGTTTGCTGGAGGGGAGTGGAGGGGGGGCTTAGCACGGGGGTTAGCATGCCTTTGGCATCTGGGCTTCTGAAATGGTTTGGTTTGATTCAAAGATTAAAGACTGAAAAATTGAACCTAATGATGGCATAAACCTCTGTGGAAAACATACTTCTGTAATTTTTTTTTGTTTTGGATTAATAGACTAACTACATAAATACACTGATGACTTCGGTTTAATTTCAAAAAATGATTGGTTAGTTAACTCTTCATAATGCGATCAACCTCCTCAAAATGAAAGTTTGTTTGTTTTTTTTCCCCTTGTAAAGCTTTTATAAAAATGCATCTTATTGAGCTTCTCAATGCTAAATCTTTTTCCATTGCACTAAGATCCCCCTGTCTCTTCAGTGATTTCCTCTCTTTCCTCTTTACAGGTTAATTGCTTTGCAAAAACGAAAGTCAATAGCTTCACTCCCAAACTGCTGAATTTTTTACTACTCCAAATGCTCTTAGGGAAGAATGAACACCCACAGATACTTACACATAGGCACAGAGCTTTAAACAGGTTTTTTTTTAAAGTCTATTTGGGAATTTGCATATCAGTTAGTGATAATTCAGTTAGATGTTGAAAACCAGAGTTCCAGAGAGCTTTGACAATTGGGCATTAATGCCACTGTGATCAGATTGTTTTAAAATACCCTACTTAAAACGTAATGAATTTGGTAGTTGCATGCGTGCATTGTAATAACTTTGCACAGTACCTTGGCAGTGTTATAAAAAACATATCTTGTATTATGTTTGCAGCTCTTATGCTGTCTGAGCAAAATACAGTGTTATATAATAATCCAGTAAAACACTTGTCTAGCCCTGCCCAATGATGAGGCAGGCAGCTGAGTGTTCGGTGAAATCTCCTAACAATTGTGAGCATTATTTTGTCCCCTCTTAGTGCTGCTTCTTTTGCTTTGATGCAGCTGCTGAGATCTTTCCAGCACCGCTGATGGAAAAATCAGTCCTTTTCTGCAGTGCAAATTTTCTATTAATTGAGCATTATGAAATGCTTTGGCAGAGGGCTGGCCACATTTGCATTCCCAACTTAAATTTCTTTGAGAAGAAATGTCATACTTTTACTAAAACCAGCCTCTGTCATACTACAGTGCTATGTGGAAGGAGAGCGCCTGCTTCTCTCTGTCAGAGAGGACGACTCATGTCAGAGTGGATTAACAACCAACCTATATGAACCTACTGCAGTCGAACTGATAGCGCGAGGAAGTAATATCACCACAGTTCACAGTATCCTGGAATAATTTAGGTTGGAAAGAACCTCCAGTCCAACTCCCTGCTGAAAGGAGGGCCAACTGCACAGCTAGATGAGGTTGCTCAGGGCCTTGGTGGGGTAAGTTTTGAACATCTCCGAGGATGGAGATCCTGCGACCTCTCTAGGGCCATGGCCAAACACTTGACTGTTCTCATGGGGAATTTTTTTTCTCTTGGTGCAACTTATGCCTGTTGGCTCATGGTGCTTTGCTGTGTATCTCTAAGAAGAGTTGGCCTTTATCCTCTCTGTACCTTCCCAGTAGTCAGCTGAAGACAGAAATTAGGTGGCCCTTTTGCCTTCTCTTTCTCCAGATTGAGCAAACCTAGCTCCCTCTGCCTGTGCTTGTACACCACATGCTCCAGTCCCCGCTCCCCTTGGTGGCCTCCTCTGACTCCCTTCAGTATGTCCATGCCTTCTTTTTTTAAGTGGAAAGTCCAGACAGGGACAGAGCGCTCCAGATGTGATCTCACAAGTGCTGGGTGGAGGGGAGGATCTCCTCCCTCGACCTGCTGCTTGTGCTTTTGCTGTTGCAGCCTAGGGCGAGGGTTACGAACAGAGCAGAAACCAGAGCTCCAGTTAAGCTGCCTGGACACATTTTGCAGAAAGGCTCTTCCAAACTGCCAGGGAGGAGTTGTGGGAAGTGTGGTGGGACCCCTGGAGGAGCAGGTTCCTCCACTGGGCCTCTGCTCTCTGCTTGGACCATTGCCTTGAGATGGGAAGTTTGGGGGCCAGTGGGAGGCTCCTGGGGCTGGTGGAAGAGCAGGGACATGCAGGAGCTGCAGAGGAGGGAGGGCTGAGCTCCGGATGGAGGCAGCTGGGAGCACACGGGGGCCACCGTGCTGGACCTGGCAGAGGCGGTGAGGCTTGGGTCGCAGCTGTCCACGCTCAGGCCTCCGTGATCTGGAGTCCCTGTGTGAGGAGTTAAATAACTTGGCCAACATGAAGATGAGTCAAGTCAAGACTTGAGCCCCTGCATATTACACCTTCAAGGGTGACACCTTTGTCTGAAGGTGGAAAGCTGGAGGAGCAGCGCGTTAATGCTTTGTTCGGGCTTTTGGTCATCAGTCACCCTCCGCCATGGTATGAGAGGTGCTTTTGACAGCAGCCTCCGGAAAGCATTCGTGTGTGATGTTTGTCAAGATACAGAGCACAGGTGTTTTGGCCTAGAATTTAAGCAAGTTAATTTCCTTCTTTTAGTTTTCTATTGCCTGAGTAGAGGACGTAACGTTTTGGCAGCCTCATCCCTTTTCAAATGCTACTGTGATTTAAAATAACCTTTAAAACAAAAATGAAATCTCATTAGAAAATGCCATCCTAATTTGGAACAACAGTTTCATAATTTGTTTCTGTGATATTGAATTAAATGTTTTGCAGAGTAGAACTAAGGTAAGATTTGCTTAAACTCCAGGCACCATTACAGGATATTATTGCTTGCATTATTCCAAATTTTGGAACGTTTTGTTTCTAATTAATCAAGAGACTCTCAAGTTTTGTTCTTGTTATGCAAACCAAAATGTAAACCTCTAAAGAATAATTTAGGTGCAGGCTGTTTTTCCATGTGGACGTTTGAAACATGCTAATCTATTCAGGTCGTTAATGATGGGTTTATGTCAGACTGATCCTTCACTAATCTCTTGTGCCTCTGCTGCACCTCTAATTTTTCAAAAGAATCAAAAACCCAAGCTTTTTTAAGAACCTAAGAGCAGCTACATTGACGGTCCCTCCTGCAATGCGTAGGTGGTGTTCGTAGTGGTATTTGAGTGCCGTTTGGGGGAAGATCGTCTGAGCCAAAGCAAATACAGGTGATGCTTACCCCAAAATACCTTCCTCAACTTCAACACTATTGAAAAGGGACCAAGTTCCTGGGTACCTTCAAGCGTGACAGTGTTCCCTTTGATGCCAAAAGCCGTGCTGAGATGTGAACGCTGTGCTCTGTGTTTCACTGAATCGTGATCTTGCACAAATCTGATGAACTGACATTTGCAAAGTTAGTCATGTATATGAACCTTTTCAAAACCAGGTTTAAGTCTGTGGCTGAGCAATTAAATTAAGAACTAAGTAAAGTGTTATTTATATTCTATTTTGAAAAAAAGAACTGCTGCTAAGGTTCTCTAATTATTGCAGCCAAGGCTGAGTTTCAGATGGAAGCAGGCAGGCGCCATGCACTGCACCCTGGGTCCTCGCAGGCGTAACGGGGCCAGTTGCTGCTGCTGCTCTCTGCAGTGGCTGTCCTGTAACTGCTGGATCCAACCCAGGATTTGCCACTGAATCATAGGGGCTAGACTCAGAGACACAACCTGCCCTTGGCCGCTGGTCCTCCAGGTAGTGTTAACTTCTCCCTAAAGCTCACTGGAGAATTGCTGTTATTTGGAGCTTGGGTATTTTTAAGTAGAAGTTGGTAAAGATGGCCACTGTTGCTCTTGGTGAGGTTTTTTTTTTTCTTTTATTCTTTAATGTAATTGAACTTTCAAAGAGAGCGCATAATAAACAATGGTAAAACATCCCCGCAAACAGGAATCTATTTGTGGTGACAGAATAAAGCCCAAATTAATTAATTTAGAGTGCTTACATTCCAAGGGCTATCTTTATTTCTTTCCTGCTTAAGATGAGTGAGTTCTGTTGTGGGGATCTAATTTTCTTTAAGCTGATGCAGTGAGAGTAATTATATGATATCTGTATTTTAATCAAGAGAAGTGTGTTCTAAAGGCTGGGATGAATTCACCTGTTTGAAGTTAAATGCATGTAAGTAAAAGAAGGGTATATGCATTAAATTACTGTATTAAATTGCTGCTTTAAAGGAAAACAGATGCATTCACATGATCAACATTCTAGTTGATCCTACTATTAGGATGCAAATTACTCTGCTATTTATTTCCAAAGCTTGATAAACTATTTTGTCGAAGCAATATTTAAATTAAAAGTCATACATAAGAAATAAGTTGCAGAGATGAAGAAAGATGAAATCTAAGTATTAATGGGAACAGAACAGAAATATTATTGACGTTATCACGTTCTTGTGCACCTTAGACTATCCAAAGCCTGGGCTGCAAAAAAAGATCCAGTTGTGCTAGATGCTGTACAAATAATGAAATGTAAAACTGGACTCTGCAGCAAAAGTCCTAAAATGTTTATTTCAGATTTTTAGAAATGGATTGCCTCCATTTCGGCAACTTTTGTGCAATTTTGGCAATTTTTGTGTTCAAGGAGACTTGCACCCGTGCCTGCTTGGCCCTGATGAGCTGCAAACGTCGTAGTCTCAGTTCACGCCTGACTGTCTCTCGGTGGTTTCTTCTCTGTTTCCAGATTTGGATGATCCAATAGTAACGGTTCACCAGAGCATCGGGGAAGCAAAAGAGCAGTTTTACTATGAGAGGACGGTGTTTCTCAGGTGTGTCGCCAACTCCAACCCGCCCGTTCGGTACAGCTGGAGACGCGGCCAGGAGGTATTGCTGCAAGGCTCGGATAAAGGAGTTGAGATCTACGAGCCCTTCTTTACCCAGGTAGGAATTAAGGTGCAATATTTTTGTCCTGCCTGAAAAAATGCGCACCACAGGCTTTGTCATGAGATCTTGAGCAGGTCTATCTGAACGTAGCTGCTGAGCAGGTCTATCTGAACGTAGCTGCTCTGCTGGTGGCATCTGATTGTACGTGCCCTCTCGTACATGCAGGTAATTACACGCAGGCCCAAATGCACCCATATGTGTTTATAAGACCTGCTAAAGTAAAAGATATCTTTTAAATTGTGATGAAAAGCAGTTATGAAGTGGGAAGTTGTGGGAAGATGCCCAGTAAGTGCTATCTGCAGGAGCCCCTTTGAAGTCGCTTTGCTTGGGTGCTGCCAGCCCAGGCCCCTGCTTTAACCGCTATTCCCTGATCTTTCCCAGTATAACGTAAAGTGATTCTGCACAGAAGTTACAGCGTAAAAAGCTTAACAAGGCTAAACTCCATGGCATCTCCCCATTTTATTTATTTTTTATTCTACCTTTCTCTTCTTTGAACATAAGTTTTTGTTCCAGAATTACACGCTTAAAAGATGAGGAGGCAAAGATGGAAAGAACTGTTTATGTAAGTCTTCCTACCCCCGCTCACAGCCAGGAAGGCAGCCTGGGCCATCAAAACAATCTGTCAGATTAGATCAGATTAATTTATTGTTAGCACATTTGCACAGTCTCAGAATAAAAAGGTGGCATATCCTATTGTCTGTGGACAAAAGTGTGTGATGGTGCTTGCAGAAAGAAAAAGAAAGAAAAGAAAAATGGAGAAAAAATTGTTTTGGAAAGTCTCAAGCAACAATGAGTAAAGACAGAAGTGGAAAATGCCTGATAATTTGGTCGTTATAGCAGAAAGCAACCTACAACTTTCAAATTATTAGCTGAAAATTATTTACGAGAGCACCTTCATTTTTACTATTTATTATACTTGACAGCTTTTTATTGCTGAAATGGTTTGATAGTCTACTGAGCAATGTAGTGTAGGCTGGAACCCTGCAGAGATGAGAATTAGATTACATAGTCAAGTTATTGGACTCCCAAAAGTGATGAGATTATTTTTAATTTAACATGTACGGATGCAATTTAGGAAATCTGTGGCTTGTTTTTTTGGAACCTCACACAGTTGTGTAAACTGGAATTTTGAATGTTTTAATTAAAAAGGGAGAGACTCCCTTGAGATTGGGCTTTTTGTCTTATAATATCTCGGTATAGGAATGCTGATTATTACCTTTCCAACTATTCATTAAGAACATATCTAATAAAATGTGTCATGTGAAATTAGATTACATATTTTAGAAAAATGGTTTCTAAGTTACTAGGAACATCCTTCCTAGGACCTCTGTCTGTGCTGAATTAATGAATAAATCAGATTGTCATGTTGATAGTCCAAAGCTTATCCATAACCTTTTTACATTCACTGGAGGTCAGATTGAATTAGTGTATCTTGTCTGTGTGCCTACAGGATCTGATATATGTTTATAAGAGGAAAAAATATAATTAAAGGTTCAAGAGTTATGAATGTCTACCGCACTTGTCTGCATAATTGATTCTCCTTATGATTTGGTAAAAAACAATGAGAACTGGTGAGAAGGGGGATAGAAGGGGTTTGACTTCAGAGCATCAGGAGATTTGAATCTGAGGTGGAGTTTTTTGGCTGATTGCTTTGAAGCAAGATTATCAATCTGAAAACCAAATGAAATGTCAAGGAGAACAAATAGCAACATAATCAACTTTTCTATGGTATTATAGCCAAAAAAAGGTTAGCTGTTCTCTCCAATGGTGTTCTTGTTTTAATAAATAATAGAAGGCACTTTGAAAGCTGGGTGAGTCAAAAAATGAGCTCTTGAACTTTGAACAGTGTTTTTGATGAGTCAGCTAATGTTAGCTACTTATTTTAGCTGACATGAAAAAAAAAGCAGAACAGGCATGCATATGCTCATCTGTGAAAGTGTTTGAAAAACTGAACTTTTCAAAACCAAAATCTTGATGCACAATTTTTTGCCTAAGAGTTTGCATCGTCCTCATTGCACATTGTAATTGCACAGCCTGAGAACAAGATTAAATTTGCTGTATTTACAATAATTATGCAATTAGACACAATTAGACTAATTATCCAAATCATTGAAGAAAATATATATATTTTTACAAATCTTAGCAATCTGGAGGACATGATCCAGCATACCATTGTGAGTACAGGCTGCAATTTCAGCTTAGGATTCAAAGCTAAGGATTTAAGTTGTGGTATGTAACTGCTCCACGTTTGGATCTAATCCAGAATTTAATGACTTCAGTAGCTCTGTTCCCATTAACCTGGAAGGGGTCTGGACCAGGCCCTTCCCTAGCTGAGATAATCTGCTTTTTAAAATCGGATCTTGATCCTTACCTCTTGCTTTGCGTGCGTTTGTACGGCCTTTCGAGGCCTTGGTCTCGCCAACAGCGAATCAGCACGAGCTTAATTTTAATCAGCATCACCTCTGCGGGACTGATAGTACGTACAGAGCCCGCCAGTTCCAGCGCTCCTGACGTCTACCAAGCTGCATTTCCCAACTGTCTCCTCTCGTGTCTAACTGTATCTTTTATTCTGGGGGGGGATGGCTGGTTCTATACTGTGTTTTCACAAACGACCATAGTTTTGTATAGGCCTGTGCAGCTGTTGCACGTGGGGCTGTTTAAACAATTCAATGCATGGCCCGAGCTTTGCTAATATTAACCGCTTGTAGCAGTATTTACAGGGCAGGTGAGAACGTGAGTTTTTCAAAGCTTGCTCTTTTGCTGTTTTATGATCCAGTTGAGAGCGTTTGTCTCCCTGAGCTGGGGTTCTGCCTTAAGCATAATGTGCTTTTAACTTATCTGTGGGAGCCCAGACAGAGATTTGGAAGTGAGCAGCTTGGAGAGGCGACTGAAAGCCTGAGCAAGTTTGTTATTTTGCTATACTTTTTTTTTTTGCTATACTTGCTTGCTTTCTCTGGTCCCGGCTCCCTCTGCCTGCTCGGCCTAGATGGGATTTTGCATCGAACAGTCCTTTCGGCTTTTTGTTACTCTTTTTGCTAACGGCAATGTAAGATTGTACACACGCTTTTCAGCAAATTGCTCCTGTGTTTTTGATTCTGCAGCGCCCGTTTCGTACTAGTTTTCCAGGGAAATCTGCTATTTGGGTGCTGCAGTTTTCCCTTGCTCGTGTCAAAAGGAACTCCTTCCGTGCATATCCTGTGCAGATTGCTGCTCCAGCCTTTACACTGCGGGCTGAAAATAAAGTCTCTCAGAAGCTCATTTTCAAAGGAAAACAACAGGAATTCTGTAGCTTATGATGTTTTTCATTATGCAGATTGTATCATAAGATATATTATCCAGCATAATGCTGTGGCTTCAGTGTCTCTGCCAAAACAGTTTCCCCCTTGCCACTCTCTCATTGCCTTTAATGTCTAAGTAAGTGTCAACCTTTTAGGTTAAGTCAGCTACCGTTCTTTCGGATAATTAAAAAAAAAATATTTTCTGGACTGCTTTAATTTAACATCTGCTTCTAACTAGCCTTCGCCATATCTTACCCTTGTCTCCCAAAAGCCAGCCTCGGTGCATTATGCAGCTCTGCTTGTTCCTCTGAGTTACCTCGTCCTAACTCTCTGTCCTGCGTGCACAGGGGGAAACGAAGATCCTGAAACTGAAAAATCTTCGACCTCAGGACTATGCGAATTACAGCTGCATCGCTTCGGTGAGGAATGTCTGCAGCATCCCGGACAAGATGGTGTCTTTCCGGCTCTCTAATAAAACAGGTACTGCACAAGCACTGCACCTTCCCGGGACGTCTGATGTTTTAACGGTCCTTTGGGTTACATGGTTTTGAAACGTATGTGACTGTATGCAGGTGCCCAGAGGTAGGAGCTACTCAGGAGCAGAGGGTGCAAACAATTTATTTCAGATATTTTTCTTTCCTCAGCAAAGTTAAGGTTCGAAGAAGAGTTTTGATTTATTTCTCTGCATATTTGTTGTTCTCTGAGTTTTATATCAGGATTTACGTTTCCCCTCAAGGTCATGGGATTTCATTCTTATGGATGCACTTCACCTCAAAGGTGATTTTGGAATATGAAAAGAGGAAAAGGAATCTCAATCTAGGCTGGGCATGAAGTAAAGCAATTATTTAGAAATCCAAACACTCAGAAATACTTCTCGAAATGTTTTGTTGAAAGCTAATTTTTTTGGGGGGGTCAAAAAAATATTTTTAGGAGAGAATCAATTTTTTCATATTCCTTTGATTTCTTACATTAACGTAAAGAAAAGTGTTATTTTTTTCAGGTATAATTGGTTCAAATAGAAACATTCAAGCAGTCAAATTGGAATGCTTTGTAGCAGGTTAGCTAGGCATTTATCTGTGTCTGAACAAGCTGTCTTTGTGTTGTTGTGTTTCTTGTTCCTTGGGCCTTTGCTCTTTCCTTTGGACATGTCCCTGGCTGAGCGAATGGCCAGTCATGTATCTTCCCCTCCTCTGTGCTTGTACCAGTGCCATGTCCCGCGAGAGCCCTATGGCAGTGGTTATCACTAGTGTCCAGGAAGACAGAAATTCTGTTTTTGACTCTCTAAAAGGCTCCGTGTCCAGGGTCAGCAGAGAATGTATCTGAAATGGTTTATAAACCAGAACCTAAAGATATAGGCCATAGCTATATATGGATATAGCCAAAGTCCTTGGCTTAGACTTTCTAAATCATTAGAAATTTCAGATAAATGTTTTCTGGGCAATGAGTCTGCAGCAAATGTTCTAATGTTCTGAAGACTGCAGGTTAGATTATGCTTCAATAACATATGACTCAGGGCACTGGAAACAGGTAGCAAATGAACAAAACAGATGAGGCATTAACATGCATCTGAGTGCATCTAAGATGAACTATGAATTTTATTTGCACTTGCATATTTCACATTATTTCTGCTCTCATGGCTTGATTCCAAGAAGTTGCCTTCCGATTTTTTTTGTCTTTCTGATTTTACAGCAGGAACTGCCAACCTGTGGTATGTACCACTGCCGATACACAACCCACTGCAAAAGAAATTCACAGCCCAGCTTTAAAGCTGCCATTGGCAATAGGGGAATTACAGTCAGCTCTGACGGTATCTGGCAAAATATATTGGAAGCCCTTACTTTACTCTTCTTTTTTTTTTTTTTTTCCCGCAAAATTAGTATGTCGAAATGTAAAATTTGGCTCTGCTTAGTTGCACTGGTTATACATGGAGGGGTGTGAAATCGTGTCTGCCATGGAGAGACCATAACTGAGAGGTCAGAGCAACTTTCCTCTTTGTGCTCGTAATGACCCGTCTGCCTTCCTCCATGGAAATGAAGGATGTGAGTTGTTACCTACAGAGTTTGGCTGCTCAGCACAAGCTGAAAGCTTCTCCCGTTGTTTGCTCTAGAGTTTGTCTTGGCCAGTGTCTGTATTTGGTCCATGACAACTGTTACATCCTCACAAGCAGGGCTCAGCCTCAGCAAGATGCTTCCTCTGCTCCCTTTTGTCAGAAGGATTATTGGTGCTGGGGGTGCGAAATCAGTCTCTATCCATGTTGGACCTCACCTGCCAAAGAAGTCCGTTTCTATTACAGTAGCGTGGGAACTTTAAATGGCATAACGATTCCTAACTGAGCACTGGTGAGCGTGATCTAATTTTGCAACAAGAATGAGTTATTTCTCCCTTAAAAATGTTACATTTATTTTTGGAGAAAGGTGCCTTCTCTGGGAGGTAGTCTTGATACATTTATCAGGAACAGCTCTTTTGGAGTAATTTCCAAAGTAAACAAGCTTGAAAAAATTACAAAAAAATCACACTTTCTCATGAAGAACCTGGTGGCAACCATCATCAAGGGCAAGATTAAATAACAAGTTTAATAATTATTGCAATAACTCATTAAGGATGATGCCTGGTGTGTTACTGGCTCTGGGACTAAACCTCCTCTCATTTGGTATAGCTGATACAACTCTTTGGTAGAACTTCACCTCATATAACTTCATAGAAGTTACATAAATCATAAATCCAGACTAATCCTGCGTAAATCCAAAGTAATGAAAATCAGAGTCCAAACACGGTACTCTGTTTCAGTATAGAGCAGTCCTGGCCCAACCATCTGTTCTAAATTCAGGGATGGAAGTACATTAGGGAGATGACTAAATGGAAACAAAAAAGAAACAAACGGAAGTGGCTGTAAAGTAGCAAACATACATTACAGTTATTGTAATTGATGTTGTTGTTAGTGAATTTACGTTCCGCTGCTCACTCAGGATAATCTAAATCTCTGGCAACTTGGCTTTTCTGCATTTATCAATTTTGCACACTAAACTAGTGGGAGAATTCTTCTTGAACTTTATTTGGCTGTTACTGAGTTGAGATGACTAAGTAGAATAGATAAGGCTTACAGCAGCTGTGGGTTTCCATCTCTTTGCAATAGTCATTTGGGCTTTTATTGTGTGACACAGAGACAGCTTCATGATCTGTCAGGCTCCCTTTCATGGATTGACTCATGGACAAAGTTCAGAAGGTTCCTCCCTGCCGTAGATGTGCCTGCCAGTTGGGGCTGCTCAGGGACATCAGCTGTCCTGGCAGCCAGATGAGGTGTGAGCATGTTAGGTTGCCATCTGCGTACAGTGGCTTGCCTTTCACCTTGATGGATTGACACAGTGTGCAAACAGTGGCTGGAAAGCTGCCATGCTGCAGGGAGCACCTTGATTTCCAGCAGCCCCTGATGGATTGCCACAGCACGCTAGCACATGGCAGGACTTTTCCACCCTGTAATGTGTGTTTGTCACATACGCTGATCATTGGCAGATTGTGCTTGAGGAAGAGGTACTTATTTCCCTCTGACATCTCTTGTGCTCGACAGATGTGAGAGAACCCAGTGTGGCAATTGCTATATTCCTGGAAAGTTTTACTTGTCTTACAGTATGCTACTACTACCCTACCAACGATGTGCTTCTAGGGCCACATAGGTTCTCACAGGTGACCATCAAATCACCGGCTAAATCTCATGCTTGATAATCTTTCAGTGTTGTAAAGGGGTATGATGTCAAAGAAACATGAGCACATGTTTTTTCCTTTTTATTTTCCTCTGAAACACTCTTAAGACTCCTTGCCTTCCCCCACCAAGAGGTATGGGTGACATGGACATGAGTGGAGACACTCAGTTCATGAAAAACATGCAAATCCAGGTGGTCTTCTGCCTCTATTTATGCCACAGGATCTTTCATACATTATTATTCTTGTGCACGTACCTCAGCTGAGAGGCTGAGACGTGCATCAAGCACGTCTTTGGGTGAGTAGTTCAGTTTTCTATTCAGTGCAGCCTGGCAGCTTATTCTTGTGACCTTTTTGTTTTCTGTGTTTAGTCCATCTTGCTGATTATTTGATTGTGTGTCATGGCATCACCAGAGTAACAATCATTTGCTGTGATATAACCAATCAAAATGCAATCCAAATGAAACTTTCTACCTACTTCTTCTCCTTGAATAATTAGTAAAGTAATTAAGCCGATACCATTGGATGAACATGTATTCATCAGTATATGTTGGACATGATGTAGTTTAAAGTATTAATTGGGTATATTCACACCCTCTTGATTCAACAGCAGTGTTCTAATTGCGTCTGTTCTGCATGAATCTGTGAAGCTTTAGACACACCATCATACACTTGCAGGAGCTGCAGGAGTTAGCGTCATCTACCTTAGCGTCATCTTTTTCACATATATATATTTCTTCGTTCCAAAACAGACTAGTTTAAAATACAACTTCCACTTTGTTTTTGCAATGAGAGAAGCTGAGATCAACTCAGAAGCGTGTGGTCATGCATATGCTGAAGCCCAGAATGACAATTAGCAGTAATATTGTACAGCAGCGTGTAGAGTCACTTGTTGAGCGTAGACCCACTTTGTATCAAGAGACAGCTGTTGTTCTGCAAAGTTTATTGTCTAAGCAGATGAGGAACGTGAAGAGAAGCAGAAAGTCTGTGCAATGACTGACTTCTTGTCAGAGAGATGGTGAGTGGCAGGAACACAAACACATCTCAGATCGTGAGGAAGAACGGCGAAGGAACTGATTCTGCAACTCTCTCTTGCTTTTAGTAGACTAATTCTGAGTAAGTTAATGCAAGCAGGAGTTGTAAAACCAAATGTGGCTGCTTTGCAACAAAATCAAGGGGTAATTCTAACAAGGAGGAGGAACCCTGACAGTTTTGTTAGCGTGTGCTTTTGAATCTAGGCTCTCGGAAGAAAAGCAGCTGTGAGAGTGGGTGTCACACTGAGTCATGACCTTCCTGCTTTTTTGTCTGCGTTGCCAGTCTTTAATCTCACTGCATCCACACTGTACCCAAGAAGAAAATCTAATTAATCAGATTTTAGCTCATTCTCTTTACTCACCCTCTGGGTTTGTCTTGGGGTTGTTGCTGTCCCCTCTCTTCCCCGAATCCTCAGAGGGTTCTTGCATGGCACTCACACTTATCTTTTATCCATTCATTCCTTCCCCTGGTCAATGAACTTCTTCCTCCAAGCAGTCCTCACAGGTTGAAATGGTAAGAAGCACAAAAGAAGAAGCTGGCAGCAAGTGCCTCTGGGGTACAGGGAGCACAGTGTTACAGGTTTTGTCTTCTCATTGGAGCAGCTCCCTCCGGTCTTGTTGCTCTCCTGTACCCACTTGGGAGTATTTAGGAATCACCCTCTTGGTTCCTCTGTCTACCTTTTCTTCCTGCTGGCTTATCTTTAGCAAGACTTTTGATGCAATCTCCTGTAGTATCCTTAGAGCCAAATT